TTTTCAGCCTCTTCCACCTGCACCTGGGCTCGTTGACATTAAAAACAAAAACAAAACACTCTTTGATCATTGCAATTTTTTTAATTCAATGGTGTCTCTGGGTTGATAAACAATCTAGAACACTGGTGTTCAAATGTGCTCATTTACACGAACATTACAAAAACGAATGCGCTGGTCTCAGAGGTTCTAATTTAATTAGTATTAGGTGCAGCTTAGGTAGCCTGATTTTTAAAAGCTCTCTGGTGACTCTAATATGTAACAAAGTTTGAGAACACTGTGGCCTTATGTCTATTTTATTTTCACTGATAAAGTTGACCTATACAACCAGACCACAGAGGCCCATAATGCATAAATGGGCCTCGAAGGTCAACTATAGGCAAATTTCACCATTAATGATGCATGACCATTTCAGCCTCTGCTTTTTTGTTGGTACTTGTTTTAAATACCAACTGCTCAGTGTTCACTAAAAATAGCTTATAATATTCATGAGCTGCATTAAATATTAAGAAAGTTCCTTCCAAAATCATTACAAAAAGTAGAAAGCAACGTCCCTTTCTGATTAAAAGCTGTAAACAAACAAACATATAGACCCACGTCTTTATGGTAATCTAAGCTCTTTTAAAAAGAAAGCTAATTTCTAACACTTTATTGTGCAGGGAATTTGGGTTAGGTCGCACTCCATGGCTGGGGACCTCAGAGTCCCAGGTCCTCCACCGGGGATTAGAGCTCACCCATTACAGAGTCTGGGAGTTTCTTTCAGTGCTTTCAATGTCAGCACTCTCCAAACGGTTTACTCTTACTGTGTGTCAAGTTTGGTTACCTATAAATACAAATGACATGCATACACATGGAATCACATTTCTTTTGAAATCCTGGCTGTGATGTCCAAGGCTTACTCAGAAGAAACTGGTTAAGTTTTCAGGGATCTGGAAGATAAGTGAGGAGCTCTGATGGTATAGTGGGTTATGTGTTGGCCTCTTACTTGAAAGGTTGGCGGTTCAAAACCATGGCTGTCCTGTGGGAGAAAGTTGAGGCTTTCTGCCTCAGAAACCCACAGGAACAGTTCTACTCTGTTCTCCAGGGTCACCTATAGGACATGTGTCAGAACTGACCCAATGGCAAAAAGGTTGTTTTTTGGAAGGTAAGTTGCATTTTGGCATGGGGGTGTAAGTGTGTTGGCGGGGCTCTATGTGTTCTGGCAGGAGAGGGGAGCAGGAGAAGGTAAAGAAGGAATTACAGCCACAGTGATAGGTTCTGTTCTGTTTGCATGTTAGGGTTAGTAGCCTGGCTTTCTGAGAATTTCCCCAAGATGCCTGCATTTTCTATGTACATTGAAAGAGACCAATTCCTTAGAATCATTTGCGAAAATGCAATGTAAGGCCATCAATATTCAAATACTGATGCATAATGTAGCAATAAGTCACAGGCACCACAGTTTTGTGTTTTCCTAAGATGTCTCATACCCGTTTAATAAAAATGCAGCCTCCCCTGCCCCAGTTCTTTAATATATTAACCTCCCCTAACCCGTTCCCTGCATGAAGAAGGTGGACATCAAAGAAGGACGGTGGTAGTAGCATCAATGCATTTGAATTGCAGGGCTGGAGAAGAATATGTAAAGTACCGCGGACTGCTAAACGGAAGAACACGTTTGGAAGCGGCACAGCCCGAGTGCTCCTTGGAGGCAGGGATGGAGAGACTCGGTCTTCATTTGCTTTGGGCACGTGTCAGGAAGACCAGGCCCTGGAGAAGGACGTCTCGTTTGGTACAGCAGAGGGGCAGCCAAGAAGAGGCTGCAGCAACGCTGCGGCTGCAACCACGGCTTACGCGCACGAACGGCCATGGGGACGGCTTGGACCCACGCAGTCCTTCGCTCGGCTGTGCGTCAGGCGGCGGTGGGTCGGCACCCACTCCATGGTACTAACGACCGCAGCAAGAACCCCCTTCCCGTGGTTGTGTATGGCAGTGGTTGTGATTTACCTCGGCGGTGATGGCTCTGCTGGTTTCCGCGTTCAGTTTGTTCAGGTATGTTTTCATTGTGCTTTCCAAATTATGCTTCTCCACCTCCCACTGGGATCTGAAACAACGAACCATGAAGGAATCAGCGCTGTAGCAGCGAACATTACAGCTCTGTCCATCTTTCTCCGTGGAAACAGACGCTAGACCTGCACTTAGCTAGAAATGATTTCTTGGGGAAGTATAAACAGGCAAGAGAAGACACTGCGGCTTAATTACTTCTTTTTTCTTTTTTTTTGGCTTAACTATTTTAGAGAGCCTAAAAACACTGTAATGTTGTAGTATAGGTATTTGGAGTAAAAACATAGCAACAGAATCAATTTACCTTAGACCGGAGCTAAGTCCCACAGCTTGCTAACTGTGAAAGTGATGCCGCTGTTAAGGTCCTGGATGCCTGTCACTGTTTTATCCCAATAAAGAGACCAGGTTGATTCGAGAAACTCTTAAATTTATTTCTGCAAGCACGTAACAGAAGGAAGCAGTGGGACTGAAACCTCCCCAAAACTGCTATGAGATTCAGTGAAAAGCAAACAACTTATAGACCCTCAACTTTGTGACAAGTTGCGGGAACGTTGAACAAGTGTGTTACCACGAACAGAGGGCTCAGCAAGGGGACAAAGGCGGCGCGGTTGGTTGACAGAAACGGGAGGCAGCCTCTCACTCCCTAAAGGTCTCAGGCTCCCTTCCTTATCTGCAAGGCCTGCCCTGCCCAGATGGCTTTGTACAGCCAAACTTGCTGAATTAGAACATTCTTAAGTTTAAAATGGGATTTTACTGCTAGAAGGAGGAGGGCGGGGGGTGGCTGTTACATTTGGATTTTTCTGCAAATCAAGTCTTAATCAGATCAGATCTCAAACCAGGTCACATTTCCAGCATTGATTAACAGCAGGCTAACTCCTTCCCCGAAACTTTGGGCAAATTATTTAACTTCTCTTTGTTTCAGTATCTTCACATATAAAAATGGAGAAAATTATAACACTCATCACATATACTGGTGAGAATTCTTTATCGTACTCTATATAAGGTACCATACATACTCGAGTATATTTGGTACTTTATGTTTGGCACATGACATAATCAAACCAAACCCACTGCTCTGGAGTGGAAACCAACTCAAAGCAACCCTATAGGGCAGAGGAGAGCTGCCGCACAGGGTCCCTGAGACCATACAGTTTTAGCCAAGCAAAGAGTCTCATCTTTCTCCTAAGTGGCAGCTGGTGGGTTCGAACCACCATCCTTTCAGATACCAGTCGAGTGCTTAATTCACTGCACCAGCAGGGCACATAACCAAACCTACTGCCATCAAGTTGCTTCTGACTCATAGCAACTCTATGTAGTGTTTAACAAAGCTATAAATCTTTATGGGAGACGACTCTCCTATGGAGCAGCTGGTGAGTTTGAACTGCCGACCCAACCTTATCGTTAGCACTCCAATGCTTACCCAACATAAGGAGTATGAAATAAATGTTAGATGTTAACAGTTTACATAAAATGGAATGTAAAGAACTTTCTCTCCCAACAGCAAGAACCATAGGGTTTTCATGTCACTATTATAAGGTGAAGTCACTGCATAAAATATTATGCCGGTTACAGTGCTCACATTCAATACATAAAGAAAGACAAATCTATAGCTTGACAGAGAGGGTGAGGATATTGTATAGAAAGAATATGGATGGAAACTGGCTTTCTGTGAAAGCCATTTCTTTTGCTTTTTGTCACAACTTTACACATTTGAATCCCAGAGCTCTAGCACATACAAACTAGATTCTGTCTTTAGTGAAGAGTCCATTGAAAATATAATATCAATAGGCCCTCTCATGAATGCTCGTCTTGATGTTTTATCATTAGAAATATCTGGATGCTTCAGCACCTGACAAACATTGATAAGAAGATTGATGGAACGGTATATTCTAAGACTATTAGGGCTTGAGTCCTTTTAGGGAGAAAAGTATCATAAAAGACTTAAACAGATATATTAACTCAACCCAAGAGGAATTAATTATTATACCATTAAGCATTGTGAAAGATTATGCCCTTAAGTACAAAAAATAGATTTTTTTCATATTACAAAAACTTTTGTAGAACGAAAGATACCATCAAGAGTGGGAAAACACAGCCCGCAGAATGGGACAAGGTATTTGCAAATCATGTATTTGCTAACAGATTTTGATAACAGAACATAAAAAGAACTCTTAAACTTCATACAAAGACAACCACATTTAAAAGTGTTAAGAGAGCATGAAAAGGAATTTCTTAAACACAGAAATGTACAAATGGCTGAAATACATATGAAAAGATGCCCAACCTCACAAATCATTAGGAAAGCCCAAAGCAAAACCATCATGAGATGCCACACCTCACACCCACCCAACTCACTGCCATTGAGTCACTGCTGATTCATAGAGACACTACAAAACAGGGTAGAACTGCCCCTGTGAGGTTCCGAGACTACCTGTTTTGGAAGTAGAAAGTCCTGTCCTCCCGAGGAGCCACCAGTGGTTTTGAACTGCCGACCATAGGGATCACAGCTCAACACTTAACCACTCTGCCACCAGGGCTCCTTCACACCCACTAGGATGGCTACAATTAAAAATATAATAAGATAAAGAAATTTAAGTGTCGGCAAGGATATGAGACATTGAAATCTTGGTGCATTGCTGGTAGGAACGGAAAATGGCAATAGAAGACGGTTTACTTAATCCTTTAAAATGTGAGACATGAATCATCATTGATCCAACAATTCCTCTCCTATGCATATGCTCAAAAACTGAAAACATATTTAGGCAAGTCATTTTATGCAAATGTTCATAGCAGTACGATTCAAAATAAATAGGCAAAAACACATGCAGTCGCATAAAACTTAACCAGTGTCATAAAGCAGCCATATCTACTAGGATTAAGGTAAACAGATAAGAACTCTTAAATTCTAGTCCCTGACGGTGGCTAGCTGTAGCTTCAAACTTTGGTAATTGAATCTCTTGTCGGCAGTTTCTACGGCCAGAGCTAAGGTGAATGACCATCCCTTACAAATTGCTTAGGATACCTTATGTGATTTTCAATCCTGCTCACGTTCATGGCTGCCAAGATGGGCTGGAGCATAACAATTGTGAGGAAGGTGCAAGACTGGGCAGTGTGTCCTTCTGTTGGACACAGGGTCACCATGAATCCGACACACTGGACGACACTTTAACAACAACACTTGCATGCTAAAATGTGCCTCCGTTTTGATGATAAATTGCATGGATACCCTCCTAACCAGAAGGAGCCCTGGCGGAGCAGTGACGAAGCTGTTCCTGCAGAAGAGGCCTGGTGCTCTCCCCCCAGAATAATTACAGCACAGACAGCGGGGGCAGCTCTACTCTGCCTTCAAGGTCAGGATGCACCAGGATCGAATCAGTGGTGCACAACCACCACCTGAGCACCAGCACGCCGAGTGGAAGACAGGGAGTTCAGAGACAATGCATTCGGCCACAATAAAAGTTGTGACAAGTACCTTCTCGTGGAAAGTTGCTCTTTAAGGTTCTTGATTTCATTATCTTTAGCATGGATTTGACGCTGTAATCTAGGCAAGTTAGAAAAAAAGAGTGGCAAGTTAGAAAAAAAGAGTCACAAAATGTCAGAAGTCATTTCTCATTAACATAAGCAAGACTACTCTGCACGCACTAGGACCGTACATTTGGAGGACTCATTTTGAGCCTGAAAGTAACTGCTGGACTCTTTAAAATTTCGCTTTCCTGTTCCTGATGTCTGTTTTACAGATTTCCCAAAGAAAGAAAAATGCTACTAACTTCTACCCTAATAGATGAGACTGTGGAAGGAAGTGTTTGCTTGTTTTATACCCCCAGTTCAATGACTTAGAAGGAAACATCCACCGGGTACATTCATGTGTTAGTTTACCCACTGGAATACAGAGAGGACTTTCCTGATGTTTGCTCTACTGTGGCATTGAGGACTTCAAATTTCATAAAGCGACAGTGTATCAGTTCACACAAATTATCAAAGAATTAAAGTCAGTAGGAAATCAGATTTTAAATATGGAAGTAATGAGGCTATATGCAAATAAGAACTTTAATTAGAACTGTAAATTATAGCTGGGTTGACACTAACATGACCTAAATGGAAAGACTGAGTAAACTTTTATATAAATCAGAAAGCATACTTTGCCATCTGCTTAAAATTTGGTATTCAAGAAACTATTCAAAAAACTGCAAACTAATATATGTTGGCTGACAGACAAGCGGATTCACATTCTCCTTTGTACTGCTGGACTGTTCAGGCCCAGCTCTGATTAACTTCTTAAGGCACTTCTATATCAATACAAAGCAACGACAAAAGCACATTTCTCTCTAGGTCTCTGATATGTTCAGGCCCCTGTGATGCACAGTTTTCATTCATATAAATGTTTGTAATGATAAAACCATGAGAAACTACTAGATTTCAGAGACTACCAATTTACCTTTTTAATATCATCTTAGAAACTATAGAGAATTAGATCAGATTTCAGTGGGGCTGAGAAGACAGGAAAACAAATCAAAACTAACTTCTTTCCATAGAAGAGTCATGTTATCAAGTAACAAAATAAGAAATACAAGCTTTGTCAATGTAGTAGACAGGTAGGAAACAGACAGTCACACTTAGACTGAAGCACACAATAAGGGAAAGTAAAGGGTAAGAAAAGTATGACTGACATTCTCGTGTCCTTTGTGGGCTTTTACGCTTCAATATTTGACTCAACTCTCTACAGCTGCTTACTTCGCCAGCTAGTTGGCAAAGCAGCAGACCTGGTGGGTCTTTAAGGGCAGGCAGCCTAAGATCAGTTCTTAGTGTGTGGCCACATTGCCACCTTGTGGCGAAACAGGGATTTTTTTCTATTAGCGATCCTGTACACTATGGTGAAAACCTAGAATTTCCTATTATTTACACTTACTTGGAAACCTTATTGATTCCAAAAGCCACTTGCTGGTTAAGAGATGAAATGATTTTATCTTTCTTTTTAATCTGAATTTGGTTTTCTTGCCAGTGAAACGACACTGTTTTCAACTGTTTTTTGAAATCCTGATTAATGAAAAATATTTCAGTTAATTCTGATCAAGTAGAGAAATACAATTTTCAAAATGGAGTTACTTTTCAAGAGGTGATCCCATTCAGTTTTGCATTTAAATATCCCTTGAGTTCCCAAGGACCTAACAGCAGAAGCACTTACTTCACACTGACAGTGCAGTGTATAAATCTGCCTTTGCAGAGCGCGTCTTCCCTGGTCAGGTTCTCTATAATCTGCAGTTACCTTGCTGGTTGAGCCCTAGGGAGCAAATGAAACATGCGGGCCTGAATTTGAGATTACCTACAACTAAGTTTTAAGTCTCTTTATGTTAGTTATCTCATTTTCCTCTAACAAACACCTATGTTTTATAAAAAAGAGATTTACAGTTGCCACCTAACCCCTACTCCTGATATCTGTAAATCGTGCGTCCCTGGCAAGCTTAGACGGACCTCTCCCCACTTACGGCTTCGGTAACAGCACCTTTGGAACGGCTGCTGTGGAGGTAGTCTGGAACACTGCTGGTGCATTCCCTGTTTTAATAACTTTCTGTTCGATGCATCTGATGGTCATGAAAGTATTATCAGGTGAGCCTTGTTCTCATTTTAGAGAAGATAAAGCTGCACAACAAACTCTCCTAAGTGGAGACAGGCTGAATTCCTACTCATGCAGTCTGGATTCAAAGCCAAAGTACTTCAACATTCCACTGTACGATCTTAGTCTAAACGTTTCACTTCTCCACTGTGCTGCAAACACCACGATGGTGCTGCAGACTATCTCTTAGCATCGCTCCAGGCACACAGTAGGTGCTAATTAATGGTGTCCTTCTTCTTGACTAAATGCACGAACAGATACTTCTAGAAAGGTATGCAATGTTACTTTGATTCTATTTTCAAATTTTTACATTCTCATGGCTGCTGCCTGAAAACAAAACATTTCACATTTTAACTTTGTGATATCCAAAGCTAAGAATAGGATATTTCCATTAAAATAGATTTGTCCTATTATTATAATTGGATAGGAAAAATTGTATAATGGTTACATGAATGTTGTACTACTATTAGCCAATGAATTGTCTATATCAACTCTACTCTTAAGACAATAGGCTACATACTATACTCTTATATTTAAACCATGGGGTCAATTATTATTAAATTACTTCAGTATACAATTCTTTGGGGTAGCCAAATTAAGTGGTTTTTCATAAATAAGGCAAAACATTTGCTTTGTTGAACATTTAAATCATGAGTGGGAAAACAAACTTGTACATTAATATTTTATAAACATCTATGGTAACCAGATTTAATGGGATTAAGCTATTTTTTTCTCTTGCATTGGAAAATCTTTGCAAAGAATACATTGTAATCAACTTTGCCCAGTAACTTAAGCTGGGAAATTGTCTGAGCTCTAAAGTGGAAAAGGTCCCAGCCCTCCACGTGCTTGTTCCTCATTTTCTCCTCCGCCCACCTCTCTGCCCTTCCCTGGCTTTTGTGGTTTTCCGACTGCCACGCACGGTGTAAAGCGCTAAGTGAACACGCTGCTCGAGGAGTCAGGGAGAAGACAAAGGAACAATTGTTCCGGGAAGAGCGACAGGTAGGTTACCTGCTCGATCATGTCCAGAATGTGCAGTTCATCCAGGCTATAGATCTTGTCTTCGGTGGCAGAATCTTCCTGAGCATCACTTGAATCATCATTCATAAATCTGACTGTGGGTGGACTTCCTTGTCTTTTCTTCACCTGCTCTTCCTCCCCTACCATATGTGAACTTTCATGGAGAAAAAAATCATTGTGACCGTTTAAAATAGCATAGTGCTTTTCATCTATGCCAGCTTCCCAAAGTGGCACTTTACTGATCTCTTAAGATGCTTCTCATTAGAATGGTTCATGGTCAAATAAAATTTGGAAAGTACTCATAGTAGATCTGTTTCTTGAAGATTCACAGTGAATAATAACTACATACTATAATGTATGTATATTATGTACATTATTCAGTTTATATTAGCATAGTTAAGAGGGCACTCAACGGAGGTAACTAATTCTACTTGTTCCAGTGTTTTAAAGCATGATCAGACCATAGAGATTATTTTCCAAATTAAAATAAGCAGTTACTTTAGGAGATAAACCTTAGGAGATATGGAAAACAAGTTCCACATCTACTCTATCATTTATCACCCTAATATTCTTGACAGGTGTGTTGCTTTAGTCAATTTCAATGCATTAGGTAAAGTGTAAATTTAAACAAAGGTCTCCAAACAGCAAAATTATGTATATTTCTATATGGAAGTTTCTTTTCTAACATGATTTTTAGAAACTATAGTGAAAGACATGGATTTCAGTAACTAGGAACAACTGAAAACAGAATGAAAAGACTAGAGGTAACATGAAGAGATAACTGAAGAGTGGGTGATATAGCAAAGTATGGCGAAGAAATCAGATAGTGTCCAGTTATCAGAAAGAGCAGTGTCTAGAGTCTTAAAGTGGATTTAAAACAAGCAGCCATCTAAGTAAGGTATCAAGTAAGTCTAGGCAGAAGAAGTATACTAGCCTGTGTAATCTAAGGACTGTAATTACTAAAATTCAAGACTAGAGGAGGGAACTATATTAGAGTTTAAACTCTGAGCACCAAATTTGCAGAAAGCTATGAATAACTGAAAATCCTAAATCCATTTTCAGGGTCCCCATGTGGATTAAGCCTCCAGAGAATCCATTTAACTATTGACCAGGAATGTGGACAGTCTTGCTATCAGACAGGGTGGAAAGTGGATTAATGCAGATGCAGTTAGGTTAAAAAACAATTTTTTTTAACAGGGAGACTATTTTTATTAATTATTTTATTGTATTGCGAGCTCTTACAGATAACAATCTATAATTAAATTTTATCAAGCATACTTGTACACTTATTACCATCATCATTTTCAAAACATTTTCTTTCTACTTGAGCCCTTGCTATCAGCTCCTCTTCCCCCCACACCCTCTCAGGTTAAAATTTAACGCCTTATCATTTGTTGCCCCTTTTGACCCATTTTAAATTGGGTTTAGTTTTTACTATTTTCTGCTTTCTTTTGGATTGATGTTTTTCTCTGTTTTACTTTGTTACTGTTGAGGGAAGCTGCACATTTGTCTTTATATACAATCTAGAAGAGGTATATTTAACAGAGACAGTAACTGGATTAATAGTTTCTTAGAGTTATAGCAGGAAAGGTTAGGGGGAATTGAGGAGCTAATAATAATGAGTACAAGAAAGAAGAAAATGTCCTAAAATTGACTATAGTGATGATTGTACAACTCTTTTTAACGTTCAAACAACTGAATTTTATGGTATGTGAATTATGTCAGTAAAACTTAAATTAAAAAAAAAGTCTAGAGGTACAATGTCAGCTACATGCATAAATAGTTCTAAACTTTAAATACCTTTTCATTCAGTTTACTACTCTATTCACTGTCAGGGAATCAATTCTGACGCAGTGACCCTACAGGACAGGGTAGAAACGCCCTTTTGGATTCCTGAGACTTTAAATCTTTGTGGGTCTAGATAGTCTCATCTTTCTCCTGCAGAGCAGTTGATGGGTTTGAACTGCTGACTTGTGATTAGCAGCTCAGTGCATAGCCCACTGTGCCACCAGAGCATGATATAAATTACTTCATTTTAACAGAGAATAGAAATAACATAGATAATAGGATGAACTATTACTTTCTTTAGGTTACTGAGACATAAATAACAACTAATACTCATTTTATTACTTAGTAAAACTCTTTGTAAAATACTTAGAAAAACAGTCAGTGGGTATAATGGAAGTTGTCTTGAATGATCCAAATATCATGGAAACATTCATGAAATCAATTGCTTACACAAGCCAGCAGCTCCCAAATTCAATTAATTTTCCCAATTACCTGAAGAATTTTTAGAAGGCATTTTTCCAGGCACCTCCACCATTGGAAATATGTAGTTAAAGCTGTACTTTTAGAAAGCTAATCCCAGTATCATTGCTGAGTGTTTAAAGTATAATAAAGCATTAGATGGTATGGGAACATTTCCATATTTTTCAGAGATGCAAAGTAAAGTATGTAGAAATAAAATTATATGGTTATGTAGTTGGGTTGAAAACACTTCCACAAAGAAGAAAATGTTAAGGGATATTTGAAGCAAATATGGCAAAAGAAATAGTAACTGCTAAAATCAAGATGGCGGGTATAAATACTATGCTGCTTTGCACATTTGAAAATTCTCATTAAAAAGAAAGACTCCCTAGGAATCTTTATTGCCATCCAGGTTTGGATCTCCACTGTGAGGAAAAATAAGTAAAATTGTTATGATACTGTTTCACTCTTTCTAAGTTCTTTTCATGATGTCTAGACATTGCCTACACTCCACTACCACCAAAAATATATAAAAGTATTGTTCTTTAGTAACCAAGAAAAAACAAACAAACAACTTACTGCCATAGAGTCAACATTGACTCACAGTGAACCTATAGGACAGGATAGAACTGCCCTGTGAATTTCCAAGGCAGTAACTCAATTTGTAACTCAATTCATTTTCCAAATTAGTTTGGTACCTGCTGGCCTATGTAAGTAATTGATCTCATTAAGCTTTCCATAATATTGGGTCGTTTGCAGAGTGGCTGGTCATTTCTAAGTACTGACCTCGTGGATCACAGCCCAACACGTAACCATGACACCATTGGGGCTTCCAAAGAAGGTGAAAATTCATCTTGGATGATGGTCTATTTGCTTACCAAGGGATCACAGCCATTATCAATGAGAAAATATCAACTCTAAATGACGGCTTCAGATTTAATAATATCTGCTCGTACTGCCTTTTCCAAAGATTTCCTGATTATGCCCTCAGTGGAGCCCTGGTGATGTAGTGGGTACACGCTGGCCTTCGAGCACGTGGTGGGCAGTTGGAAAGCACCAGCAGCTCTGCGGAAGAAAGACGGGGCTTTCTCTCTGATGAACAGTTAAAGTCTCCGACGCCCACAGGGGTAGATGTGAGTCAGCACTGACTCGGTGGCAATAGGTTTGGTTGGAATTATGTTCTGATATTCAGTTAAAATGTCTTGGTGGGAGCCTATGCAACCACGAGGTGTCGAAGGGATCAGGTGTAAGGCATCATCAGAACAAAAAATCTTACCATAGTGAATGATGGGGGGAGTGTGGAGTGGAGATCCAAAGCCCATTAGTAGGCCACTGGAGATCCCCTTGCAGAGGGGTCTCGGGGAGGAGATGAGCCAGTCAGGGTGCGATGCGATGTAACAATGATGAGAAATACAACCTTCCTCTAGTTCCTAAAGGTTTCCTCCCCGCTCCCACTACCATGACTCGAATTCTATCTTGCAAGACTGGCTAGACCAGAGGAGGTACACTGGTACAGATAGGAACTGAAAATACAGGGAATCCAGGATGGATGAGCCCTATAGGACCAGTGGTGTGAGTGGCAAAACAGGGAGGGTAAAGGGAGAATGGGTAGGAAAGAGGGAACCGATTACATGGAACTGTGTGTGACCTCCTCCCTGGGGGACAGACAACCGAAAAGTGGATGAAGGGAGACAAAATACCAATTTATAAACTATCAAGGGCTCATGTGGGAGGGGGTAGCGGGGAGGGAGGGGAAAAATGAGGACCTAATGTCGGGGGTTTAAATGGAGAGAAAATGTTTTGAGAAATGATGTACAAATACGTTTTACACAATTGATGTGTGTATGGATTGGGATAACAGTTGTATGAGCCCCTAATAAAATGTTTAAAAAAAAAAAATGTCTTGGTGGGAATGTTATCATGATCTCTCTCCCTGCTGCCTTCAACTGGGGTACTGCCATCAATCATAAGGTTGGAAAATGCATCTCACGGTGACCTTTTGACGAGACAAAATTTCCATTAAATACTCAAAATTCACTGCCAACACTGGAATTTAAAAACCCTCAGGTTAAATGAAAAACAGACAAGGAAACAAAACAACAAACCAAACCAAACTAAGAACACTACCACCAGCCCTCTCTTGTACTCAGAAAGGCAGTCGTTTGCGACAGGCCATGATCTTTGCCCTTCATGAAGGCTCAGACTCAGGCTATATTCAGGGAATCAGACTCTGACTGCATGTTTTAAAACTGCATATTTGACCATGTTTGTCACTGAATGAAGCCGTTACCTTTAGATGAGCTGCCTTGGAGAAAGACTATGAATCTATTCTTCTAAAGCAAATGATAATTTAACATTTTGACTTTTTCTAAAAGGCAACCACCTATTAAGACGAGGAGCTGTCCTTTCTTTCCTTCAGTGAGCACACTTCCCATAGCAAATCTACACCACAGTGACAAAGCACACTTTGAAATACTATGAAATGTGTATAAATAGTATAACTAGCACTTACACTTGCTCGCCATTCGACTCCTGGTTCTGAAAAAGAGCATAAAATATTAGCAACATGACATCAACTAGGTTAATATAGCACATGATCTGACTACATTTAATTTTAATCTCAAACCAAGAAAGAAATATGTATTTACAGCTATATGTAATATATGTAATATGTACAAGGAGGCTTTAAAAGTTCATTAAAAATTCCATCATCTTTTTTTTCCCATGAGCCCTTTCAAAGACACTTGTGTATGATTGGGTATGCGAAGTCATCACACTGGATGGGTGATCACAAACGACAAGCCACCTTGAGACTATAAACCAATGAGAATTCTAGGACACATACTGTGTCCAGGCAGACCTTGTACATAGGTCACAGGTAGTCTTTCAAACAGAGTAAGGAATTAGTACATGACTTAAAATCAGAAAAGGTATAAATCAGGGTTGCATCTTTTTACAAATTTATACGGTGTGCTGAGCAAATAGTCGTAGAAGCTGGAACACATAAAAAAGAACACAGCATCAGAATTTGAAGAAGGGTTATTATCAACCTGAAATATGCAGATGACATAACCTTGCTTGCCAGAAGTAAAGAGGGATGGAAGCCTTGCTGATGGAAACCAAAGACTGCAGCCTTCAGTGCGGATTGTAACCCAATGTAAAGAAACCAAAATCCCGATAACTGGACCAACAGACGACATCGTGGTAAAGGGAGAAAAGCCTGAAGTTGTTAGGGTTTTCATTTCACGTGGCTCGACAACGAATGCTCACAGAGGCAGTGGCCACGAAATCGAAAGACATATAGTGCTGAGCAAATCTGCCGCAAGAGACCTCAGTGACCTGTTGATGAGCAAAGAGGTCACTTTGAGGATGAAAGTGCCCCTGACCAAGCCATGATGTTGTCAATCACCTCATGTGCATGTGAAACCGGACAAGGAATACGGAACATTTGAATGATGGTGTTGGTGAAGAAAACTGACTCCCATGGACTGCCAGAAAAACAAACAATCTGTCTAGGAGGCAGTCCAGCCAAAATGCTCCTTAGAAGTAAGGATGGTGAGACTTCATGTCACATATTTTGGACATGTGACGTGAGGAGACCAGCCTCTGCCCAGGGGCACTGTGTGTGGTCGAGTGGAGGGTCAGCTAGAACGAGGAAGAGCCTTGGCTGTGCAGTGTTTCCTCCTGTTGTGCAAAGTGACAGAGGAGGACACGGAAAAGGGTGGCTCTAAGTCGACACCCACTCAACGGAATCCAAACACTGGGATTATAATCGAGAATAGCTGCAGGTCCACACGTATGCTAATTAGAAGTCCTCTGTCCCTCCATTCCCTAGACCAATTTTACTTTTTTCTTCACTTTTTTCAGACAGTTATAGCTTTAGAATGACTATTGCTAGGTGAAAAGAGATGGTGCAAAACAAACAACTAACGTATAAAACCATTTCATGCACAGGGACCTTGCTTTCATGCTGCACACACAGAACCAACTTTCTGCATGCTGGAAGAGCTCATGAAGGAAACTCCTGATCACAGCATTCGGCTTTTCAACTTTCACTGTGATTGCGGTAAAAGGTTAAAGAGAAAATTTATTTCCATTCAACACTTTACACAGCTTTTGATTGTGACATTGATAGCTACCCCCAAAATATAGCAACACCCTTTCAACTTCCTCCATAAATTTTTCTATAATATATCCCACAAGCTATTAAGATTTAAAGGCATGTTTGCTACAAATCCATTTGGATTTAAGTTCCAACCATGAACTAATGTTGAAGGTCGATGTTCATCATCAGTTATCCATTGGCTGTACTACGAATACAGTTTCTTACCTTTTTACTCTTAGTCCTTTTCTTTTTCCTTGGTTTACTCCTAACCTGATAGGTAAGAAATAAACAATTTATTAATATGCAATTCAAACTATATAATGGGTTATTTAGAAAAATAAATTTCTTCTAACCAATGAGACATTTATTTATCTCCTAATATGACAGTTCATATTTTCTTTCTGGATCCCATGCACACAATTATTTTCAAGTTAATTATTTTCACTTTGATTTTTTTCCTTTGAACAATTATTGATTTTATATCTATACAAGATATATATATTTTATATATAGGATATACATTTACTTATATATAAGATTTATATATAATATATATTTGTATATAAGATTATAAATTTATATATAAGATTTATATATAATATGTACTTATATATAGATAAGATTTTACATCTATAAGATATATTTATATAAGCTATATATATATATATATCAATGAGTAGGCTACCTATACATAGCTAACAAATTCTCACCTGTACAAAGGAGGAAGAGTAAAAATCATAAATTGCTTAATAAATAGCCCTAGCAAGAAAGATTATGGAAGTAACTTGAAAAAGCCATTCCAATGCAAGTTGTGTGAAAACACTGAGGCAAACATAACCTAAGACTGACTGGGAAGTTTTAGGTACAGCACGTGCGACAAAATCAAGACCTCAATTAAGGTTTCTAAGTCAAAGATTACTGCAAACGTGTACTTCTTGGAGCTCTTTAGTAGATGCGGTTGCAGATTCACTGGGCATTGATGCCACGTCTTTGTTCATTTCTGCTAACTGTACTTCAGGGCTTGAACTCATGTTGATATCATATTCCATGCAAGGCAGACTCAGTTGTCCATCCTCATTTTGTAGCTCTTCTATTTCAACACCTAAATATAAAAGACAAAGCAACTCAAAATTGGGATATAAGCAATTTTGGCTTCTTATCATTACTATAAATATGTTTGTCCACCGACAATACTATCCCAGAAATAAAAATAGAAGACCTCTCTCTTGTTCTGTTCAAGTACTAGATGAACATGAAACCCCAATTTGCCAGTCAGTCTCAGAAACCCTAGCTAGGGCCATGGTCACGGCCACTCTAAGTTAGACCCAGGCTGGTGGCAGTGAGTCTGGCTTGGTCACACTAACCTGGGACCAATCTGTCTGAACCTTACAAGTAACAAAAGAACCTAAGAATCGGAACAGACTTGAAATACGACATGTTTTAGTTTTATGGCATTAACTCTATTAACACAGTAAGTAATAGAACTATAGGACAGAAATCTGAAACAAAAGGGAGAAACGACAAAATGAATTAATTTTCTTTCCTCCCCTCCTTCTTACAACTAAAGGCTGTGAAAGAAAAAGAATCAGCTCCCTATGATCTTGATCTTGACTTCATGCTCCATAATGCTGTCCCAAAGACTCAAGACTCAGAATTCGAGAACCTTGTTGGATTTGGCACTGACGCCAAGACTCAAGACCAACCAAAAAATCCTGTGTTATTTTCTTAAGAGCAATTTTAAAGGTAGAATACGAATTACATTTTTAAAACACATGAGCACAAAAAATGAAAATTTGAAACAAAATAGATCACTACCTGGCCGAGATATATTGATACGGGAGAGAAGCTATGGTAAAATATGAGCAGGTACAACAAGCAGGTAGCTTTTGCCCGGTGACGTGTCCTGTAGGCCCAAAGATTAGAGCACTGCCTTAGTAAACCCTGGGACACATAAACCAGGAGGGCAGGATCTGGCGCATATTGGGCTCAGTTGACCAGTAGTAATTAATCAGATGGTTTTCCAAAATTTAACTGTTGAAATTTATCATATAGTTTATTTCACCAACAAAAATCCCACAAGTGCCTCCCAGGTATCCCCGATATTCCCAGTTAAAAGGTTGTTTTAAAATTTTATTTTTAAATACACTTACAATGACATCCTGTTATTGAATGCAGAGCAATTCCTATGGCACAAAAAGAAAACATTTAGATGTAGATTTGCAAATGCAACCATCATATATCTAACTGAGACTAAAGAAATAAGAAAAATTTATACTGTATAATCATAACATTAAAAATGACAAGCTTCATTCATCAATCCACTTTAGACAGACACAATCTTGACTTTGTAAAATAAAGGTTATGCAGCCATGACTAGAGAATGGAAAATAATAAAAATTTTATGGTTCATAATAGATAATACCTAGAGCATAAGCACTTTAAACCCAACAGCAATTTTTTACTGTTTATAAAGTCTAAGGTCACGAAGTCAACCATCTGAGCCGCTCTGCATCCTGAAGTAGCCTCATTCCCTGCCCCTCCCATTAATATTTATGGAGCACATATATCAGGCATGGTGCTAGGCTCACAAATGAAGTCGTGAAGAATGAAAATATAGCCTTTGCTACCATGAAGATCTAATGGAGAAAATAGGTATCAAATCAGTAGACACACAATTGAAAAGTATAAAAACTAATTTGACAAAAGAAAAACAAAAGATAAAAGTGATGTGCAATTCTGATTCATGGAGGAGCTATAAGGTGCTAACATAGCACAATTAAATGTTCAACTAAAGAACTTCCTTGACCAAGTAATTTCTTCACACCGCTTTTATGGGGTAATACCCAATCAAGAGTCAAATCTTGAGTGAGATGACAGAAATGGCTTGAACTCAATAAGAAAAGGCTGAGAGCCCTTTCCCAAATATTACCTTTATTCTATTAAGTTGTTTTGTTTTTTAAATCTTAACATAGTAAGTGAAAACAACAAAGCACAAAAAAAAAACACCCATAAAACTTCTGATAAGTTCTCTTTCTTTTTATGTTCAAAGAAAGCCATTAAGGGTCTAGGACAAAAGCACAAAGGTACCCCGGAGTTTTAATAAAAGGACTGAGATTGGAGCCAAGATATTATTTCCCAAGAAAAGGTGGACCAGTTCAACAATTACTAAAACCTGGAGAGTTGCATGTTCAGTAACCTCCGTGTAGGCGTCAGTTGCTTATGTGGTAGTGTGAATAATTTAAAAAACCTTCGAAGCAGGAAAAGCCACCTGAAATAGCCTAACAAAGGTTTCAGTGTGCTGGCATTGCTGAACTCCACTTTCCACCAGGAGACAGGAGCAGCTCATCGCAGATGTGGGAGAGGAGGTCTGATGTTACTCCTGTATCAACAGATGATGTCTGGGAACTGTCAAAATCACATTTTCTTTTCTGGAAGCACAACTTCTCAGTCTGGCAAAAGAAACCCTCATGAATGTATTTTATCCATGAAACACTCTCATCTAGCCTCGGTTACACCAAAACTCTCTGTTTCCTGTATTAGGGTGGATATTTCTTTTCTACACCATTGTTTTTGTTGACCTAAGAACTATCCTTCCCTATCTCCTTTACCTGAGAGCCTCTCCAAGTCACTTCTTTTCTTTTTTTTTATGCTCTCTCTCCAAGTCATTTTTTTAAAAATCCTTAAATATACTTTCCAGGAAGCTTTCTCAGATTCCTTTGCGCTGGGGTCTCCCACAGCTTTCTGGACTATCTCTAGCACTACCCTTTCTATTAGCTTCTCAATTAGCCCCTTGTCCTAAGACTGTGAACTCATTGAATCCCTCATCCTTAGCACCTGGTAGGCACTCAGTAAAGGTTTATTGGATTAAGTAAAAAATTATGTTGTACCTTGCTGATAGCAGGATAACATCCTCTGGATGATTTCTGGTACAGGTATACCTAGGTAGATGGACAGCTGATGGTAATCAAGGGAGATATTCTCAATGGGATTCTCTTTCACTTTGTCAATTTCCTCTTGCTTCATCCCAAGACGCAGAAGAATATCTGAAACTTTTTTCCAAATTGAATTGAATTGTGATTCAGTGAGGCCATTCATCAAAATCTCACTAAGGAGGATATCTCTGTACTTGCATAGCCTCAGGATGTCTGCAGACTTAGAGAGATCGGAGGATGGTGGTTCTATATTCCAGCCTTTTTGGGGAGCGGGGAATATACTCAAATGTTTTATGAGAGCTAATAGGAGGTATAAATCAAACTGTCTGGACTTTGGTAGCTTCTTGTTTGGGGGGTAAAGTAGATGCCAGGCTCCACCCAAAGGGTGATTGGTCCAAAGATGGTTGTAGTATGGTTCCAGCACATTTCTGTGTATGAGAAGCTTTTTTTTCAAAAGAGATGGTGGCATAACCTCATCAAATATTTGTCGGACAATGTCAGTACCAGAAATAATAATTATATGAAGCAGATGATAGAAATAATTATAGTCAAGTTTGAAGATAGGCATTTCATCATCTGAAAAGAAATTTTGAAAAGGCAAGACATTATGAATTAATTCTCTCTCTTTTTGAATGTGGTCTCTCTCATTGCATCCTTAGCTCCTGTAGGACAGGGACTATTCTGAAAGAATGAAGTACATTCAACAATGTGTGCTTTGCTACAGTCCGTGCACAATGAAACATTGTCTGGCTAACTGCTAAAACTCCCAACAAAAACAGTATGTTTCCAAGCAAAATTAATCACAAGATCTAATCACCACAGGAGTCGTTCAGTTATCCAAGTTCAAGTCAATGAGCTTTGAAAATCGAATAGCATCAAAATCTTGAAAATTTTAAAGTCTTCCCAAAATGGCAAACACTGGTGTTTAATAGTAATCATACTTTACCTGGATAAGCATTATCCAATAGAACTTTCTGTGATGTTGGAAATATGTTATGTTGACACTATCCACTAGGTATTTAGCAATAGACAAGCTGCTTATCAGACTTTTAAATTTTTACTGATTTTAAAATGTTAACTAAATGCCACACATGCCTACCAAAATTCCAAACTCATTGCCATTAAGTCAATTCAGACTCATAGCAACCCTACAGGAAAAGCAGAACTACCCTATAGGTTTATGAGACTGTAACTCTTTATGTGAGTAGAAAGTCTCATCTTTCTCCCAGTGAGCAGCTGATAGTTTCAAACTGCTGACCTTGAGGTTAGCAGCCCAATGTATAACATCCTAATGACTATATGAGACCATGCAAATCTAATCAAGGAACTAAATTATCTAATGCCTTGTTCCTCTAGTGTGGTTCATGGACTGCCTACAAACAAACCTGCTTCTTAGAAATGCAAAATGTCAGGACTCACCCCAGACTTACTGCACCGGCACCTGGTTTCTAATGAAACCATCAGCTGACTCAAGCACATATTAAAGTTTGAGAAGCAGTGATCTAATGAACTCCATATTCTTACCTCCACACAAAAAGTATATCTATACACATCTATACAGCTATTTCATCAAGAAAAGTAAGAAGGCATAATAGACTAACCTATTTGGTTACTGTTCTGGTTTAATAGTATCTCCACAGGAGGAAAGTAGAATGGAGTAAATTAGAGTGGAGTCAGAACTTGGTATTTGATGATATTTTTAATGAGAAAAATATGTGGTCATCACAAAAAGCAGTTTTATTTTTTATCCTTGACATACACAAAAGAGACATGAAAATGACTTGGCAAGTAAGGAGCTTGCTGGATCAAAGAGTTCCATTCCGCCCAGCAAGAAGAACTCCTCTAAGCTACCCTTCCAGGGGCCAGTCACCCATAGGGTCTCCAAGTGAGGGGCAGCTGGAATGCCCTAGCATACCCCTAAAGAGATTGAAACTGACTAACCTAGTTGTCCCTGAGATCCAAAAGTTCATCCCTGGCAGGTAAGGCTGCACTCCTGCATGCTCTATCAAAAGGAACACAACAAGAGGGGAAGGCAGTAGGGAACCTCTGCTGAAGCCCAAGCTCACTGTGAGCCTCAGCTATGCACTGGACCAAGCATGATTCTCTACAGCAGCGCTTCTCAACCCGGGGATCAAACGACCCTTTCACAGGGGTCGTCTAAGACCATCAGAAAACACATAAATATTTCACAATATATAATTACATATTGTTTTGTGATTAATCACTATCCTTTAATTATGTTCAATTTGTAACAATGAAAATACACCCTGCATATCAGATATTTACATTATGATTCGTAACAGAAGCAAAATTACAGTTATGAACTATCAATGAAAATAATTTTATGGTTGGGGGTCCCCACACATGAAGAACTGTATTAAAGGGTCATGGCGGCATTAGGGTCGCGGCATTAGGAAGGTTAAGAACCACTGCTATATAGGATGCTAACTCGGTGTGTGAGTGAGAACCTGCTGAGATCTCTCTCCCAGAGATCAGTCTGCATCAAATACAGGCATGGTTGTAATGGCAATGTTAACACAGTTTTCATTAGGAGACATAAAAAATAAAATAATACCTTTTGTACTAAAATTTAAACTGATCTTCGGTTGCCTATCAGTCTCACTTCTTTTCAGAGACATGAATTTTTTATAACTGTGAGAGAAAAAAAATTAAGTTAGAGACAATTTAGCTAAAATAAATCAAGATTTGTGGCATCAGTCTGGGTAAATAACAGCATTTTCTTTTCTGTCTCTAAATTATTATTTGAAATAATTCAAAAGTTAAAGGAGTAAACACTGATATACAGAAACTAGCAACAATGAAACCTTATGTTGTTTTTCTCTGCAATTAAGAAGCAAGCATAATTGCTCACTGAGTCTTTGGGTGGCACAAACATTTAAGTGCTCAACTGCAAATGGGTAAGCACTCAACAAATAGCTGGAAGGCTGGCAGTTCAAACCCGCCCAGAAGCACCTCAGAAGAAAGGCTTGATGACCTGCTTGTGAAAGGGCACAGCTTTGAAACCCCTCCCAGACTGGTTGACTCTGCCAACACAAGGGTCACCGTGACTCGGAATTGACCGGACAACTGTGAGATTTCACGTAAGCTCTACGGACGAAAGAAGCCTACGGTGGAGGTGGTGCTTCCTGGAAGGAAGCAGGCATAAGACGGCCTTGGAAAGAAGTCTCAGAAGCAAAACCGCCTGAAAGTATCAGATCTCAGAAAGGAAAGGCGAGAAGTATAGGAACATACACATGCTTGGCTGGGAGAAGTACCCAGCAAAGAATGATGGCAGATTTACAAAACATAATTCTCACACGAGGCTACTTGTGATGCTGACCATCTGGTAGCAGGGAAACTGAAAGAAAGAAACCTGTACATCACAGGCACCAGCAAACCGGAAACCCATTTCACTTTCCTTTCACAGAACGGTCTTGCCGGTAGCTATTCCAAAAGCTAAACTAAAACCCATCTCAGCACAAAGATACAATTAGAAAAAGGTACGGGAAAAGAACAGCACTATTTACTAAATTGACTTCACACCATAAATCAGATATGGTCACAAAGCGGAAGAAAAAACAAACCAATAAACCAAAGCGTGTGGCAGACTTCCAAACAAATCTTCCCACACGGACCGTGCAGATTATACAATAACAACACTGGATTCAGCTCAACCCCACTGCCATTGACTCGATTCTGATGAGACAGACTGAGACAGAGAATGACCCCGTGGGTTTCTGAGTCTAAACCTTTATAGGAGGAAAAAGGCTCATCTTTTTCGAGGTTTTGAACTGCTGGCCCACCATACCATGAGGATTGGTACACCAACACCAGAATATACATTTCAAGAGTTGACAAATCCTCCTTTTGTTGTGGTTCACTGATCTTACCTCCAGCACTGCTATAACATTACCAACCATAAGCTATATTGGAAAAAAAACTTTAAATGCCAACAACTCAATCACTTGGCAGAGAGACTGAGTAAAAGCAACTCTATTATACTGTTCTAGAGAGCATAAATTGGTTTTTAGAAAACACTGTGAAAAGCAGTTTAATAGCTCTAATAAAGCTGAAGGTATGGCATAGAAATTTTATTCCTAGATAAAGATTATGAAAATATTGTAGAAATATGCACCTGCAGATAGGCATAATATTTGTAATGATCCTGCTGCTCTAGCCCAGATTAGAATAACCTATTTATCTTTCAACAACAAATACATTAGTATAGTTAGATAATAAAATTACAACAATAAAATGGAAGAGCTGCAGCTGTATGAAGTAGTAAGAAGATATAAAACATAATGGAGAGTTAAAAGGGCATTAAGAAACAAATATGATTTGACTGGCTTTAAAAAAAAGGAACAAATGTATACATGTATATAAAGCTTGACACAGGAAAATTCAAGTAACTACTATCCCAACATCATGGATGTTAATATAATTGAACTCTGGGTCCAAAATCTTTCTCTTGTGGTGGTCCAAGAATTAGCAATCTAAAACCAGCACACATTTGCCATTTCCATGTTCTCTTTGCTGTGTGTGACATGTATTAATTCTGTAGGTATAGTTCTGCCTTAGTGAATAAACGTTATTGAGACGTTTTGCCTTGTGTCTAACCCCCATTGTTTTCTTATGCAGGATTGATTCAGTCAATGAAGTTTCAACTTGTGTAAGTGAACATTCCAAGTATCTTAGTCTAATAAGCCTTCCTGTACATGTACAAATTCCTTTTCAGACTAGTATTTTAAATTCTATGCCATTATCTAGATTAAGGATATTATTAATAGAATTATCAAATGTCTCCCTATGCTACTCATATTATTTTTCAAGAACCTGATAATGCTGCCAGGGACGTATAAAAACAGAAATATAAGTGGATTTTGAGCTTGCACTTAGTCAAAAGCCCTGATTTTTCTGTCCTATTTTATTGATTTTTGTTTTTCTTCTGATTATATGATTTTCTTTTTATGAAATCTTGGAGATGTAAATCTATAAAGGGAGCAACTAGATCAATGGCTCCTTGGGGTTACGACAGAGGAGATTCAGAGGACAAGAGATGCTAATGTCACTGGATGTTCTGACAAAGAAAATGTTAGAAAACTGGCTGTAGCACTAACATTACACAACTCTTTGTGATGTATTTACATCATGTATTTATATTATAATAAAATATTTAAAAAACAAGAAAAGATTCTATTTCTAAGAATTATATTCACAATATAATACAACATTTATAAAATAAGTATAAGTATAATGCAGAACAACAACACAAACAATGAGAAGTAAACCCAAAACCTCAAATATTAGGTTGAAAATAGACTTGGGTAAGTTGAAAGTATACATTGTAATTCCTAGAGAAATTATCAAAAAGGGGGGGGGGCACAAAAATATTAAGCTAATGCCATTACACTAATTCCAACAAAATCCAGAATCATTAAAAAAATTAAGACAAAAGAAAAAAAATATTTTAAATGAATTATAAATTTTAAAAAATAACAAACAGGAAAGTTGAAAGCTAACAGAATAATGGTAAATTTAAATCCAACCATATTTACATCCTGTGGAATAATTCTAGTCTGTCACATGGGGTCGCTCAAGGTTAAAATCCGCCTGACGACACCAAACATCAGCAGCAACGAGGGAGAGAAGTCTGCGCAGGGAGAGGGCCACAGAGCAACATGCTTCTGGATGCTGGCAAAATTCTACATCTTTACCTGGATGTTTACTGTACAATTGTGTGTTAAAGTCTGTGTTTATATTGTGTGCGCTCTTTAAATGTTTATTTTAATAATGACAAAATGATCAATTTATCATGCATTCCTAACATCTCCTGATAGAACTCTTCTATTTTTTCATAATAAGACCCTCCTTGAGAACTGATACATACTGTAACTATAAAACTTGGGCAAATTACAAAATGCACAAAGTCTTCAAAGGCACTGGGGAATGAAGAAAAGCAGACTGACTGGCGGCGAGTATGAGCTCAGGGAGAAGAAAGGAGCTCTAAGAAGTAATTGCATCTCTTGTAGCCTTCAAACCCAAACTCATGTAAGACAGAATATAACTGTACCTGGGCTTCTTTGCAAGAGTAGGAAGCTTCCTCTTTCTCCCACTGAGCAGCTGATGATTTCAATTGCTGACCTTGGGGTTAATTAATGGCCAAACACATAACTATGTCGCTACCAGGGCTATCAACGCTAGTGAGGGAGAAAATCTAAGGTCTCACTGACACATGGCATCAGAAAATTGAAGCCAGGGAACAACTGTTGAAGAAAGTGAAGGAATCCTTTGCTTTTAGCTGAGCTGCTTTGAGTCTGTGCACTGGTTAGTCAGAGACACAGCTATAAACTACAAATAAGATAAAGTTCTTGTCTGCATGATGGTTATAGCCAAATAGAGAAGACAGACAAGGAAGTAGAATACATTTTTATTAAATGTTTTCATAGGAGATATAGAGGGAATACTGTATAGGACCATCAAATCTAATCTAAGTGAGGCCTGCTGGAGGCTTGAACAAGGCCTGAAGGCAAAACTCAAGAAACAGAAAGCAATAAAGTGTAGTTGTACATGCAAGTAAAAGACTTATTCAAGAAATGACATTAATAAATTCAACAGAGGACAAGATTGCTAAACGAAATTCTAACTTAAATTGTAAGAGCAACCCGAAGTCTCTGAAAGATGTCCAAACAGAAAAGTGATACACTTTGTGTTTAAATATTTGAAGAGACTTTTTTTTAGCAGCTTTAGATTTACAGAAAAATTATGCCACTAATACAGAGTTCTCATATACCTCCCACTGACCAATACATTAGGAGAAATTTTTATACTGAAACTTCTCACTTCAATAGTAGCAATCTACCTCAGTGAATTTCTAGTATATAATTTATTTTTGTCTGTAGCCTAAAGTTTTCTCATTTAAGAATATGGAAATCCTAATTGTAAGGCCTGAATGAGGTTTTCTGTTGGTTTGGTTTGCAATTTGAGTTTTTGTTGTTGTTGTCACTTCTAAATGAGCTTTGAAAGTTGGAGAAAATATATCTGTTGGAAGCAGAAAATGGGAAGAGCGTGTATGCAGATGAATCCTCTTATTCTCATAGATTAAGAAGCCTGGTGGGCTGGGTTTCTGGGGTAGAGGGAGGCCTTCATCCTTGTGATTTGGAGGTGAGTTCCAATCACATTCTCATAATTAATGTTTATCCCCACTACATCCTCTCATAATAATGCTACTGTCAGGTTACCTCTTCTTACAAGCACATGGCTGATAGCCCCTCACCTGCCCAGGGCAATGGTGTTAGGTTACTCCAACTATTTACTCAGGGACTTTTAGGGTTATGGTACAATCCACTTTATTATGTTTGTGGTTACCTGTAGTTAGGGGGGCTTGCACGCCCCTTAGAGTTATTATAAGCCTTGGTTGCAAATATACTCCCTCTCTCTCTGCGTGGACCTAGTCCCTGAAGTCATGACTGCTACGGTGAGCACTTGCATGCTTTTTCTTGTCTCTTTAATTTTACCCCTCAATTACACACCCACCCCTTGGATCCATTCGATTGTGGGGGCTGGTACCCCACAATATCATAATATTTCATTTAAATAACTTTCAGAATGTTCTTTATTTTCAAGTAAGGATCGTTTTCCCTCTTAAGGTAAAAGTATTCATATAATTTCTCTGTCCCTGCATTAGAATCTAATCCAACCACAGTGGCCTGAAAAATGGTTAACTAAATACAATTTTCCATATTCCCAATACCTTCCTTTAAGATTATTAGAGCTTCAACAAATGGCAGAAACAGACAAAAAGAAACAGCTGAAAAATAAATACTTGTTCAGATAAAAATATGTTAAGCTTACCTCGCTCCTAAATTTTCAATGGTTACATATTCATCCTTTCTCACAACTTCAAACTGCAAGTGATGGGGGAGAAAAGTCTTAATGTAGGTCAGTTTTCAAGATTCTGTGTTGTTACTGCCTAACCTTAAACCTCTGAACAAATGATGGTGAAATGATGCCATAGTGAATACAGAGCAAAGAGCAGAATAGGGTGCACACTAGAAAAATCCTGATCAAACACCCACCGTAAAAATCAGTTTTAGCGAACCTCTATTTTTATAAAAATAATGCATGCATTATATATTTTTAGAAACTATGTTATTCCTCTGGTTCCTTGGTTTCCTATGCATACTCTGTAAATTATGTATGCTCACATTATTTACACGGATGCAAAAACATGATATAAGACTTAAATGTCAAACCTGAAATACAACTATGGTACACCTAAAAGTACAGAAATAGGTCAGATGCATTTCTACTCATACTTTCACTCTATGTATAGACTGACAATTCAATCAGATAGCTCATCAAAAAATAAAATGGTTACTATTTGGTTACATTTTAAGTACCAGCTACTATATGTGTTTGTTTCATTTAAAGCTCAATCTTGTATATTTCATTTCAAGATTAACGAGTTGCACGGAATGATGCTTAAAGACTAAAGGATTTTCAGAAAGTACAGGGACAGTGAATTATTTAACGTGGCTCTGCTAGCCAAAGTCTCTAACTTCCACCAAACAAGCTTTCCCTTCATGGGTTTGGTACGAAGGTGGGAGAAGATACTAACAGGATCCACCTGTGCGTAACTGTGAGCACGGTGCCCTGGAGTGGCAGTCCGCTGGGTATAAAATTAGCCCTCTCAGAAGCGGGAGGAAGGATCTCACTATCAGTAAGAGCCAGGAGTGCAACACATCCTGTGGACCTAAGATACCTGGGCAGTCAGTGAGCCTCCGAGATCCAGGTGACAGCGGTCCTATCAGAGGAACAGTAGCAGAACTGGGAACCCCCGCATGGAATGGCATGATGGGCTTCTCAACTCTCAGAGCAAGTTAAGATGATTGCCTTTGTGCAAGAGGTTGACTTGCAGAGTGGGGTGTCTTTGGGCACTTAACTGGGGTAGCTGGACTTGCTGACCCACCAAAGCAGAGCTAATTACCTTCAGGTCGAGGATTGGAGCAGAGTGGCATGTCCTCTGGGCACTCATTAGTAGACCAGTTCTGGTAAGCAACTATGTACCCTGAGCATTTCTCACTGGTATGACAACTTGTTAACATCCTTAATAAACCCTTTACTCAGAAATTGTGTCTCTAGTTTCTGTTTAGCCAGAGACTCTCCCACTTGCTGTACCTCTGCTTCTCTTCTCTCTCCCTCTCTCTGTCTCTATTTTTAAATCTTTATTATTCTTAAAGACCACCTAAATATGACTTTAGATAAACCAAACAATAAAAAAGCTAGAGTTGGGTCACCATCACAGAAAATGGGACGAGAATCCTGTATTATAACTCACAAATCTGTATCAGTAAAATTTGCATTAGAGTGAAAGAAAGTAAGAAAAATAAAAAGATACTCACCAAAATTTTAACAATCCCAGGTATATCACATTCTAGCATTCTTACAATATCACCAGCACATTCTTCCTTCAAGCATTTTTTCCCACTAAAATTCTAAGATCATAAGTAGAAAACATAGAGCAATAGATGAATCATGATGTACAAATCTGATTACATTTCAACAAATAATTAGAAGCAAGTTAGTAGCTGAAAACTGACAGGCGTGATTAAGCATTTGAGAGCTGCTCAAAGACAGTGCATCTCATCCATCAACCGATTTCTTATAAAAGGGACGGTTCCATTGTTCTACCTTGTCATGTCTACTTCAAAATCTTCAAGGTACCCTACCGCAGCCTACACTGGACTCACTGCCCCCAGGAAACGTGGCTGCACATAAAATGTAATCAAGTGAGCACAAAATGGAATACTAAGTTTCTCCAAGAGACAACGAGAATTTCTAAGGAGCGAAGAGTAAAAAATGTTTTGTCTTTATGCTGACTGTGACCTTGGCATTTCCCTGTCGAAATGAATTGAATTTATTTTACTTCTTTTTCTGAAATTGCTCAATAAGAAATACATGCCCTTACAATTAAAAGTATTTACAGAATGCTTAACACAGTGAACAACAATGTCTTATATAATAATCTTTACAGTTTACAATGTGAGTTCACCTAGTTTATCTGTTAATCCTTCCAACAGCGCTATGAAGTATGTACTAATATTCTAACTTTATAGTTATAAACAATGAGTCCCATAGAAATTATCAGTCTCATTCAAAAAAATTAAGAGGTGAGGGGCTTTCGTGAGAAATGGCTCAAATTGGGCTTGAACTCAGATCCCCCAACTTCAAATCCAATGCTCATTCTAGTATCCTACAATTGCTTTACAATGTAACACCATACAATCAAACAATATAGACCCAATTTAATGTCACTAAAGAGTAATTGATATAATTACTGAATTTATTTATTGCATAAATAATAAGAATGCCAAATATATTTTAAGTACAATAAAATATATTGTTATTTCTAAAATTAAACTGTCTTAAAATATATACAGTATAACTATCCTTTTTGTGTGTTAACTGAGCAAATCTAATCTTTGATTTTATGTCCTTCATATGACTATGGGTAACAATATTGCTATTTGGAAAGGAACAAACCCATGGAAGTCATTGAACAAAGCAACTAATAAAATATCCTCTAGAAAGGGTTGTTTAATAAATGGTGCTGAAAAATGAGGGTATGGAACGAAATACACTAGCAATGAGGATAAGGAGGAAAGGAACAAGCGATAGTGGAAGAGGGCGGGATATATATAATCAGGGGAAAAATGAAACCTGGAAGAGAGATGGGGCCAAAAGAGAGGGAAAAGTTCAGTTGTAAAATTTAAGAAGAAAAAGCAAATACAATACCTGATCATTTTCACCTGGATATTTTAAATTTCTGAACCGTTTCCAACAAATTTTATGAAAATAAATACAGCAACTTTTACTGCACATTAATTGTACAAATCCCTGAAAAATAAAAGCAAACTGTTGAGCTATAAATAGGAGTTCATGTAACTGTAGAAAAAACAACCAAAAGTCACTTTTTAAACTTCTTTTCCTAGATACCATTAAAAATGGCACATGCCATGAAAAACCTATGCAATTCACTAGTAAGTTAACTTTACCTTTTAAGTCAGAAAACTTAGTTCAAAAAGGCAGTAACTTGAGAAAGTCGATATATTTTCTGTATGCTTTTACAACAAAATCTCAAAAAGCCTGTATTTTTAGTCCAGTCTTTGCCTGCATCAGTACTGCATTTAAATTACATAGTCTGTTGAAACAGTATTTTTAAGAACGGCACTATAATATGTTTTACCTGAATTTACTTTTATAATTATGTTTTTAAAAATACTCAGTTAATTGTTAACTATCATACCTTGTAAGTTGTGTTCTGTAAAATGTCAGCTTCACAAGATCTCTCACAATCTAGATAGCTGCAAATAGCCTGCCTCGTGATATTACTTTCAGAAGTCTTGATAAAATTATTAAGAAGATCCTACGTGCAAACAATGGAGAGAATTCTCGTGAATTAACAAAAACAAGTTAAGACCACAATATTTCTAATACTTTATCTTAGGAAATATGTCCAAATCATGTCCACTTTTCAAGGTCTTATCTAGACATAGTCTGTAACTTCAACTCACAACTGAGTGGGACCATGCAGAATGGATATACGTCCTCTTTACCTGACAGACCTAGGTAAGGCAGACTGCGGAGATACTGTGAGTTGACAGGATTATGAGTCAGTTGTGAGTGACTGTTAACAGGGTTAATTGTGATCGCAAAAACTTAGAACTCTAAGGTGGGGATTAGTCAATTTTGCCATCCTGCTGGGTACAAAAGGAGCCATCTCAAAAGCAGGAAGGGAGATTTCACTACCATCAAAAAGAAGACC